AAAAAAAAAAAAAAAAAAAAAACCAAAACAAAAAAGATTTCAAAAGAGACCTAGCAGAATTTGACAGATAAATCTAGTGTTAAATTGTTAACTTGTATCACATAGAGAACCAAAAACAAAACAAAAAATTTCTATATGATACAGACAGAGTAACATACAACAGTTAAATGGCAAAACAAAACAAAAAAAAATATATATATATATATATATTTCATAGAATTACAAACAAGATAAAATAATGGAAAACAAAAAAACTGTACAACTTTAGAATTTAAAAAATGTTCATCTCAAACACGGGGAGAAATACAAGAACTTTTGTTAAAAGAAAACAGTTTGTTAAAACAGCAAATGTTTTGTGTACTTGTTGTTTTTGACACCTTATGCTACAACTGGATACTGGTAGGAATATTAGATGGTACTCTTTAGTATTGTCTACTTAAAAAAACAATTAAAAAAGGAATCTGCACTGTGCATCAGCCTAGTTAGAAATATGTACAACAGTTCAGGATCTAGTCTTTCATTAAACTAAAAACAAAAATCCATAAAAATAAAAGAGTCCCGGCTAAAAAATGAAATCCATTTCTCGTATCTCGGAATGCTCCAGTCTCTCGCGGAGTCGACGAGCGGCTTCGGCACTGGGAAAGGAAGCCAGAAGGTGAACAATGGAACCTGCATTCACAGTCTTCGAAGTTCCCTTTTGAAACATAAGGAGGATGAAGATGAAAGGGAGAAGGATTTCATACGTTTGGGGCGGGGAGAAGGGAAAGAAGACTGTTTCTGTTGATGTTTGGCTACGGAAGTGAAACAGCAAGCATCTATTTGTCTCCAAAATCTACATTTTAGCAGCACAAAATCTTCCTTCCAAAGTCCAGACCATATAAGATAGTGTGCGTGTGTGTGCGTGAGATAGAGAGAGACGGGGAGAGAAAGAGAGAGAAAAAACGAGCGAGCGAGCGAGCGAGAGTACTTTCCATCACCAGGAACACAGAGATTAACATAAACACAAGTGCCTCACATACGGTTTCTTTTTTTGCTTTCTGTACATTGCTATCTGATTCTTTGCGGGCTGCACCTCTGGGTCACTCACCACTCAGACTGCCTAACACAAGGACAAAACTTTGAAGTAAAAACTTGTCTTTTGGTATGTTGAATTTTCATTAAGAGTTGCCTCTCTGCTTGCAGAAGAAGCACAGCTAACAACCTGGGTGCTTTTTAGGTTTTTCTTCTTCTTTATTTAAGCTTATTTTTGTGTGTTTAAATTAGAAACAAATTCTCAAGTAAAAAGAATCCTTTTTGCTCATTCTGCACCAGTGGTGAAAGGGTATGTCTTTGGATTTTATTTAAAGCATGAAATTTTTTTGAGAAAAAAAATGTAACCAAAACTTACTTTAAAAGAACAGAGTGCAGCCTAATTACACAAACAGAAACAAATGCTTATAGTTTAGGAACAGAGTCTTTGAAGCATTTACAAAATGAGGAAAGGAAGGAGGAAAAAAGAAAATGAAAAATAAGAAAGATAAGTGCACAAGGGTAACAGACATAGGTAAATCGTATGTATACGCCTTAAAAAGTTTCAAACCCCCAACAAAAAATATTCTGCAAGGGATCCTACTGACCCCAAAAACCCTTTGAACTTCTTTCTTTAGTTTTTATAAAATAATTATGCAACCACCCTCTAAGAAATGAAGGCAGCAACCATAAGTGGAAGATTACAGGATGGGGAGAAAGGGGAATAAAGGTACAAAGGGGAGAAAAGCTTAGGTGAGTCAATGGATTGCAATCTATCTGGCTAGGAATGAACAAGACAACATCAAATGAGAAGCCGTCAGCTGGACCATACAAAAGCTAAATGTACACAAAAGGGTTTTTTCTTTTAAATCTACCATACTGCTTCAGTTCATTTCCAATGCAACAATCTACTCAACACCAAAAATGGTCATATCTATCATAAATACAGAAAGTCAGTTGTTTTAAAACTTATTTTTTAAGCTCCAAGTCCTCAACACTCTTTGTGTGTTTTTTTTCTGAAAAGTGGGAGTGCTTAACTTTTCCCCTTGAAATTGGCTTCAGCAGAAAAGCTACCCTTAAAATCCCCAGAAAGCTAAAGCAGTTCACATTGTTTTTTTCTTGAATACTTTCTGCCCATTTTAAATTAAGAAAAAAAAAAAATCAATCCTTTTCTGGAACAAAAACAAACAAAACAAAAACCCCCAAAACAAACAAAAAAGAAATTATATATATATACATATATATATATATATATATATATATATTTATATATATACATATATATGTGTGTGTGTGTGTGTGTATATATATATATATATATATGTATACACACATGCATGTATATATATATACATACACACACACACACACACGCACACGTGTGCACGTGCGAGTGTGTATATATATCTATATATATATAAAAACAATGATTCTGAAAACAGAACAAAGTGTGAGCGATTGACCTGAGAATAAAAAGACATTACATTTCTTTTTTCTTTTAGCAAGCCATTGGTATCTGAATGCTAAGATAGCAAGAAATTTAAAACTGTAACAAGGTGGGCTGCTTTCCCATACAGTGCGTGCCGGCCTCTGCTGTGCTATCAGTGAGGGGCATTATTGAAAAAGGGCAATATACAAGGGGTTTAAGCTCCAAAGACATTAAGGAGGCAGTATAGACTCGTCTCCCAGACCAACAGTACCTTCAAAAGGACAAATGTAACAGCTTTTTTTTTTTTATTTTTTATTAAAAGGAAAAAAAAAAAATGTAAAACCCACCGGCATTGTTATATGGGAAAACAACCCACACTTTTTCTTTTTTTCTTTTTCTTTTTTTGGTTAGAAGCTTTGGAATTGCAGTTAGTCTATTTTTGAAATTGGTTTGTTATTAATTTTTTTTTTTTATTTAAATTCATTTTTATTGTTCATCTTCAAAGCTTACAATCTGAAGGTGTCCATTCCTACACTAGTTAGACCACTGTCCTTAGGGCAGCTGGGGTCCTTAGGCCCCTCCACCGGGCTAGCCGGTCCATCTGACTTTTGGCTAAGATCCGTGTCAGACTCCTCCAAATAGTCGTCTGTTGGCATCGAGGGCTGAACCCCTGAGGTGCTGCATGAACTTGAGGTAACCGTTGAAGATGAGGAGAGAGGAGGGAAAGAAGGAGGAGGCGGCTTCCCAAGGGGAGCCCGGGAGACCACTTGGGGCCAAGACTTTCTGGAGGCGTGGGGGGAAGCCGAGGAGGAGGACAGAGAGGGCGGGGGGCTGTCGTTTGTGTGAGCGGCAGACTGCGAGGTAGATGCGGTGCTAGGATCGGGGAGGCAGGCAGAGTGAGGTAATAGACTGGGGTGCTCTTTGGCGTTTCTTGCTGCTCTTGTGATTGTTCGGTGTTTGTGCGGGGCTGACTCGAGATGCTGACTCAGGGCTTCGTCCCCACACACCGTGCTCTCGCACGCCACGCACTGGTACGAGCCGCTGCCCTTGCCGCTGCTGCCAGTGGGCACATGAAGCACCATCTCTTGCAGATTCACCACAGACTGGCCGAAGAAGCAGAGGGACTTCAGGTGGTTGCTGGCCGCCTCCTGGTCGCTGAAGCCCGCCTGGCACTTGCGACAGACCAGCTTGTACTGCACCTTTGGAACAATGAAGGGGTCACACAGGGAGTCCGCACTTTTGCTTTCTGCTTCGGGCTCTTCTTGGGGTTTGGGCAGGAGGGGGGACACCTCACGGGGTGCGTTTTTCTGCTCTTCTTGTTTGGGGGATTCTTTGGCAGGGTCTTTGTCTGGGGTAGCAGCCCCCGCGGGGACTGGGGTTTGGCTTCCTTTGGGCTGTTGCTGCTGCTGCTGCTGCTGCTGCTGCACCTTCTGCTGCTGCTGCTGCTGCTGCTGCTGCACTTGCCGCTGCTGCTGCTGCAATGCCTCCTGCAGGCTCTGCTGATATTGCTGGTACTGCTGCAGCAGGGAGCTGGGGGACAGGCCGAGCAGAGCCTGCGACAGAGCAGGACTGTAGGGGAACAGGCCTTCCATGCCATACATGGGCTGCAGGTACCCACTCTGCAAGGCCCCCGGGATCTGAGGGGCGTAATAGGGAGAAAAGCCTGGGACAAAGTAGGGAAGGAACTGGCTTGTAAGCAAGGTGGTTGGATCTGAATTCAAGGCAGCCTGCAGCGCCTGAAGCTGGGCAGGCTCCACTGCGTACTCCATGGTGGGCAGCGGGGCCGACAGGGTGGCTGCAGGTGCCTCTCCTTTCTCCTTCTTGGGCCCCGGCAGGGAATCCCCTTTCCCTTTAGGTGCCTTCTCCTTCTCTTTAATCTTCTCACTTTCCTTTTCCTTGCGCTGTGGCAGCGGCGGCTGCTGCTGCGGCTGCTGCTGCTGGGGGGCCATGGCCACCGTGGGCTGTGCTGGGGTCGGCGAGCTCAGCGAGGCCGAGGGCTGTTTATTTGGTAATCCAGACGTGGGGAGGCCGGGCGAGGGGACGCTTGCGGTGGGCAGACCCATCAGGTTGGGTTTTGGAGAAGTTAAAGCTAGAGAGAGGGGGAGAGAGAACCGGTGAAACAACAGGCATGACTGGTGGGAAGCGTGAAGGCCGTGCGGGGCAGGGGACAGGCGGTCGCTGCAAGCGAGGGCAGCCAGGCGGGACCGCTCGGCCCCCACCGGCTTTGCTCAGCAATGACTGCACTTCTCATCTATTCAGTGCTTTAGAAATGCGAGGCCAGCAAGCCAGCCCGGGGCTTGGGGGCCTTGAGCAAGCCCCAGGGCACCCCAGCAGCACGGGGACCACTGGTGCCCCAGCCATTGGGTAGCACAAATAGCGTGACAGGGATTGGGAGGTGCACAGATGCTGCGGCCAGGGGCCTGCTAACCACCGCAGAGCTAAGAGTCTGTCTGCCCAATCTACCGCAGATGGACAATATATTTAGCTGCCTAACACCTGGAACCAGCAGCCTCCCACCTCCCTCCACCTGACCGGGCAACGGTTTGACCTCCCTGACCGGGCACCCCCCAATCCAGGGGCCGCATTGGTCATTAAACCAGAAGCGCCGACTCGGCAGCATGGGGCAGGGGTGGCCGGGTGCTAATGAAGGGCGTTCGCCTACAAACCATTTTTAAATACGTGAACACCTGCAGGAAAGAAGAGGAGGGAAGAGGGGGAGATGGGACAGGAAAGGAGCAAGGCAGATCCAAAGAGCGGAGGAGGACACGAGGAGCCCTCTTTTCATTCCCGCTGCCTTCCTCCACTGCCAATTTCCAGGCTCTGGCACATGCCCTCCCTCTCCCCCTTTCCCCGTCTGGCACAACCCACCTTCTTACGGGTACAGAGCGCTGGCAATGGCTCTGTTTTCCTCGGAAATATTCTCACGTATATGAAATGCAGTGCCCCCTCCATAACCTGGATGCTTGGAAAGTCAGGACAGACAAACGCCTGCCATAACCCGCTAGTTGGGAGCTCCTGGAGAGCGTCCAAAGGTTCAGAGAGTGATCAGCCAGGGGAAACGGGCGAGGGTAGCAAGAGCAGCAGCACTTGCATTGTAACTCATGCATTCGGGCTACGAAGAGTAAACATTTGCCGTGTCCAGCCACGGGACCGGCGAGGCACGTGGAACAGGAAGACCTTTCCACAGCCTGACACCCGCAAACCGCCAAAGCGCCCTGCCTCGTTAGCCAGCCAGCCCAAACCGAGAATAGTTAGTAGGTGGGGTGGTGAGAAAACCCCCACGCTGAACAGGCTAGAAACCCCGACCACCAGGAAGGCAGGAGCACCAAGCTACACCCCTTCCCCTCACCCACCCACCGCTCCGGGCTAGCACCGAGTGGCGGGTGCCTCCACTTGCAAAGGCTGAGCATTGCCATGTGCTGAACAGCCACGGTGCAGACTTACAGAAGTGTGTCCATGCTTCCTGAGCTAATGCCCCTGCCGGTACCGTGCCTACTGCGCTGTGGACTCTGCAGCTACAACTCCCATCCCACACCCCTGACCTGCCAGTCTCTGCAACAGGAACCACCATCCACTCGGGGGGCGGCAGCAACACGGGGAACGTTAGTAGGCAAGAAGAAAAGGAACGGACCCTGCCAAAGCCGCTGTAAGAGACAGGCCATGGCTGCTCCGGGCGCTGCCCACGCCACACTGTGGTGCTGAGGGCACTGCTTGCTTTCTCAGCACTGGATCACTCAAAGGCACCGGGTGAACGAAGACATGATGCAGGGGACCCCGTTCACGAGGGATATGACGGGAGGGCTCTCTGCCCCGCTCGGTGCTGAACGCTCCTGTTCTCTGCCCCGTCCCAACCAGGAGCTATGCCCAGGCCCCTCAAGGCATGACGTCGTTTTTCCTCTTCCCGTTTTGGTGCTGGCCAAACAGATGCTCCCACATGCGCCTTCCTGAGAGTCGCTCTGCCCAGGACCAACTTTGTCCCAGTTCACGGCCCAGGCAGGGAACGCCAGGTTTCAACAAGGACATCTCCACCGCAAGCCAGCGGCACACACACAGCTCTGAGCGCTGGGGCTAGAAGATCCTCCCCGAAGAACAAGTCCTCCCATAACTGCCTACTGCAAGGGCTTCTTTCACCTTTCTTTTGAAGCAGATGGCATTGTCTGCTATCAAAGACAGTGTACAGGACTAGAAAGACCTCTCTTTGACCCAGTCTGAATGTTCCTGTTCTTTCATTTTGTTCCCTGCAAAAAAGACTAGACTAAAGTTGGCTGAACATTCACGTGAAATCTAAATGAATTTGCCTAGATTCGCTGCTCTTCTGGCTGCATCGTGGCAGCATTCAACTATTACTTGTGTGGGCCCTTGCAGGGAGCTTCCTGAAAGCCTTCTTACCATAAGCCAGACTCCGAAGGTTAAACTCACCCACCGAGGACACAGGAGTAACTACCTGTGCTTTCTGCGACATACCACAACTCAGGTAACAAGAGTACAAGATGTTTGCAAAAAATCGCACTGGATCATTTATGACAAGCAGGCGAGAGAGAAAAGAACCCACTGTCAGTTTGTGGGCAGAATACAAGCAAAAAAAAAGGCAAAGTGTGCTGAATAAGTTACTCCCAACAAATTATTCACTCAGCTCACATACTCGTATCAAAGCCCTTCTAGTCACCGCGGTGGTTCCCTTCCGAGGCAGCTCTAGCAAAAAAAGGGACCCCATTTCCCTCCCAGAATATAGCTCATTTGTCCTCCTGGGTGGCTACTTGGATGTACAAAATAAGGTGGCAGCCATCATTTCTGAGGAGGGTATAAGACCCTCTTGTCCTTTGGCATTTTCTCCGGAGTGAAAAAGATAAAAATAGCTAAGTACCTACGTAAGGCCCTAAACTCAGCAAGCTGGAAGAAGACAAGCTTGTTGAATTGGGGTCTCGTCTACACAAGGGTTTTCCCCCTCCAGATTCCCACTGGAGCTAGCAGAAGCGGGAGTGCTGCTGCAGGCAAGGTGCTGGCGTCAGCCGTCCTCCCAACCACTGTTCCCACCACGGATGGAGCAGGAAAGCAAGACTACCATGAAGGAAGCTGGAGAGGAAAACGCCGACCCTATCCTCCTTGTAGCAGTTGGTCTATCCAAGTTATAGCTGTCCAAAAGTCAACACTTTATCCAAAGGTCACAGCTTTTTTGCCTTTCTAAATACTTTAGTCCCGTCTAAGTAGCAACTGACTGCTTCTCACATGCAGGGTTGGTAGCTTCACCTCCGCTGGGGCTTTGGGAAAAATAAAGGCAAAGCTGCAGATCGAACTGAAAATCTTAAAAAAAAAAAAATATGGCTGTAATTTAAGTACCACCACTTTGTGTAAGGTGGGCTGCAACAAGGTGTGCAACCCAGACTCTCCTGGCCATGGTGATGGGCACTGAAAATGAGACCATTGGCAGGAGGGGTTATTGAGAGAAGGGTCCCATGGGCTCCAAGATCCCCTTTGTAGGGATGGAAAATGCCAAATTCAAGTTCTAAGCATCAGCAAACCCCGCGCGGGAGGACAGCTACACGCAAGAGCTATAGGAGCAGATCGAGCAAGGCCGTGACAGGCTCCAAGACTGATGAAGCAGACCACGCCCAGGACCAAAATCTGTTGTGTGGCCAAGAGAGAGGGCAGAGACCCAAGCCAATGCCTCCGCAACTCAACTGGGAGGTTTTCTGGACGTTGGCAGGACTGTCTCAACGTCCTGAGAAAAAGATCGACTTTTATTAGCAGATGTTTAGGATTGTGAATCCAAAAAAAGATGACAAAGCCGGTAGGGAAATACATATTGGGCTTAGCCAGTCAGCATCTGTGCCATCAGGAGAACCACCCGGCTGCTTTCATGGGGAAAAGTTCAACGTGCGGGTGGAAGAAGGACCCGTGCTCGAGGGTAAGGAGGAGCAGGAAAGGGAGCCCTTTCCTGCAGCCCAAGAGAAAGGGGCTTGCTGGGCTTTTTGGCTCCTGAACATAACCTCTGGTCTTGTGTCTTTGCTGTAACCGATGTTGAGTTCTGGCGAGACCCCATCTGTTGAGGCCCCAGAGTCCAGGGAAGTTGCACATGTGCTAATGCACTCTCTCTCACAGGATGGCTAACGGCAGCACTGCTGGACGCTGGTCCATCCAGAGACCTTGTGGCTGGGGTGGATCCTCAGCCAGCGCAGCCTGTCTCTGCTTCCTTTGGGAGCTCCTTTACAAAGGAGGGTCTTCCCCTCCTGCACCAGGCTGCGACATCTAGGAAGGATTGGCGGCCATGCTGTTTGTGCCTGGGGGACCCCCTTTTGGGGATCCCTCACTTGTGCACAACCAGAGATGCTCATAAGATCAGCTTCTGGAGCAAATCTTTTGGTTCTTTGGCCCCTTTGAGAAAACACTGGCTTCTGCAGGGAAACGTTTTCCCCATGAAGCATGACCTCCACTGTTCGTGCCCATCTTTAGCAGGCCAAGAGGAAGAGTGGTTGCACCTGCTGTCTGAGATGGCTGAAGCAAGCCTGAACATGGCTCAAGTATCTAAAGTTTCAAAAGAACTGAATGAAGTAGGAAAATAATCTGTATTTTTTCTGTCTAATTAACAACAGACTGAACTGCAAAGGGATGTTTGTTCCCCACCTGCTCCAACTGGCAGAGGGGGAGGGATGTTCCTACTATTGATCTGTTGAATATAGGACACAAGGGAACAGGGCTGGCCCTTTCATAGCCAACTATTGCTCAAAACGGATCACTGGCCATGCAGCCACGCAAGCAACGGTTACTGCAGGTTACCATAAAGACAACGGCATGCGCAAGAGCCTCCAGATTGCCCATCACCTTTTCTCCTACACATCTGTATCGTTAATAAAGCACCTGCAATGTAATTGGGAATTGGAGGCGAGTAGAACATGAACTGAATTTTCTATCAAAAGCAATGACACAAGGAACAGCGCAACGAGCGTGCTACCCCTGTTCAGACACAACGCAACAAAGACCTCAGCTTCCAAGTTTCCTTGAGGATGCTGCAGAATTTATAGCGTGTGCCAAGCGGCCCTGGAGCCGTGGCTCCCAGGGGCTGGAGAGAACCAGGCTGTGGCTGCTAGAGCGCCTGGCTTAGGGAATCAAAGGTACAGTAACTTTGCCTTGTGCCCTGCTGATGACACTGTGGACTGGAGCATGGTAAGCCCGATTTCAGACATTTCTGGGGAAATGTCCATTGTGCCACAGGCGCACACTAGGGAAAGCTACACGTCTGCGCAAGGAGACGACTGCTCCGGCACCCACCTGTGTTGGATGGAGTGAAGCCTGGCAAGGACGGGCTGTTGAGGCCTGGGAGCAAGACGGGAGGGATGCCCTGCAGTGCCGGGTACGCAGTAGGAAGGTTCAGAGCTTGCAGAGGGGTATTATCAAACATGCCCTGCTGCTGAGCTGCCAGACCAAGAACCTCATTTGCTTTCTTGATCCGGTCCAACTCCTGCTGAGCCATCAACTGACGTACGGTTGCTGGGTCAAAGTACTCCTTCTCCTTATCCAACTGGCTTCCAATGGTTTCTTTAACTTTGGAGATATGCTGTTGAGAGAAGATATGGTCACGTACAGACAGCCGAGCGCTGTACTTGATGCCACACAAAGTGCACTCTGTTTTGGGTCCCTCATAACTTGTTTGGTTTATGCCAAAATGCTTGGCCATGCTGAGCTTGGATTTCTTCTCCTTGGCCCTAGCATTCTGGAACCAGACCTGAACAACTCTCTTTGGCAGTCCAATGTCATTGCCCAGGACCTCACACTCCAGCATGGTGGGTGTCCTGTAGTCATTAAAGCATGACTTCAGAACCTTTAGCTGGAGATTAGTCATCTGAGTGCGAAAACGCTTCTGCCCTGGCCGATCCCCGCTCTCTCCAGACTTGCTGGCCGAACCACTTGCACCGGGGCTGGGCGAGCAGGGGTCTGCAAGGCTGGATGTTTCACTATAGTCCACAGTACCTTCATTATCGTACTCTTTGCTGTAAAAGCTGGGAGCTGGGCTGACTAGGCCAGAAGACAACCGATCCTCATACTCAGTCATTGCTATCATGGCAGCCTTTGTCAGACCCTCGCTGGGTCCTGATGTTGATTTGGTTTCAGTTGCAATCCCTGTGGCACTATCGTTGTCTGCGTTGCCTTCGTCCCCAGTTGTAGTGTCTGTGATCGCAGTGTTGACAGAAGAACAGTCGTCGTTGTCCAGCTTCGTTTGGTCAAAACTCAGGTTAACCGAGGACATGGAGGGACTTTCGAAGTCTTCTATCCCTTCTACCTTAATGGAGGACGGACTAAGCAGCGTTCTGGGCGACAGCTCCATGCTTTTGTTCACCGGCGAGAGGGGAACACCCTGACTGTCGCTGCCAGTTGGCGGCATGTGGGAAAAGCTGCTTGCTCCATCAAAGATGTCTCCCTTCATCTGGAGCCCCCCGTCACAGTCTAAAAGCATAGCAGACAAAGTCAAGTTGTAGCCAGCTCTCTTGGCCTCATGCCAATGACGGGATCGGATGTGCGCTTCCAGAGCCGTCTTGGCTTTAAAGAGTGCTCGGCAGAAAGGGCAGCGCCTGTGGGCTTGGGCCGGCCCCACCGCTCTGAACTGTCCCTTCCTTTCCCGGGCTCGCGTGTTCTGAAACCAGACCTGCACGACGCGCTTCTTCAAGCCCACTTCGTGTGCAATGTGATCCAACATCTTCCGCGTCGGGTTGGAGTCCAGCAAGTACTTCTGGTACAGGATCTCCAGCTGTTCGGGGGTAATCGTTGTCCTCAGCCGCTTGTCTCGCTGAGGCTCTTCTCCCCCCGTCCCGCTGTCGTTTTCCCCGGGGCTTGCACTGGCCTTTTCCTCCAGCTTTCTCTTCAGCGTGTTCATTGTAGATGTTGGTGTTGAGGGCGAAGTGGCCGAGCTGGCTGGAATCTGGGGCAGGGCTCCAGATAACAGCTGGCTTGCCAGTAGTGGATTACTGGGGTCAAAAAGCATGAAAGGCATATCTAGCGTCCTGTCCAGGAACTGGGGGTGTATAAACTGGTTCTGTGCACTCAGAAAATGAAGCTGCTGATGCTCCTGCCAATGCTCGAAGGAAGGGAAGGCCAGTTTGCACTGGTCACACTGGTATGGGATTAATTGAGGAGGTAGGTTTGCCAGCTGCTGAGGGGTAGACGTATGAAGGGGCTTGAGGGAAAGATGCGAGAGCTGAGATGGGCTCGGACTCGACGGAGGCAAAGAGCACTGGGGTGTCTGTGGGAGGGGCGGCTGTTGCTGTAATGAGCTGGGGGAGGATAACTGAGAGAGCTTTTGGTGCGTCAAACTGGTCTTCTGTTCTCCTTGGTCCTGCTGCTGCTGAGGCTCTTGCTTTGGTTGCACTTGCTTCTCTTGAGTTTGGTTTTGCTGTGTACTGGGAGGTTCAGGCTGCTTTGGTTTCTCATCTGTAGCTTCTGTAGCTTTACAAGTATAGGTGGAAGAGTCCTCTGCCTCAGCGGTGAGCTGTAAGAAAGCTGAAGAGGTTGCATTAGCGGCGGAGGTTGGGGTGCTATACGCTTGCGAGGGCATCGGTGTGCTGCAGGAGGAGCTGGTCGGAGTCAAGAGCTCCGTTGCGTCCATCGAGTCTTCGTTCTGGCTGTCGTCCTGTCCATCCTCATCCTCATCTTTGTAACAAAGCTTCTTCTGGTGTTTGATAAGATCAAAAATGCGCTGAAAAACTAGACTGCACTTTTTGCACTGGTAGTTCAAGTTGCTCGTTCGAATGTACCTGTCGTTCGTCAGCTCCCGCCGTTCCCCGTCTTTGCCTTCTCCCTGATTCTCATAGTTTTTCCTAGCTTTCTGGCGGGCGTTCTGGAACCAGACCACTATAACGCGCGTAGGGAGGTTCAGCAAGTTAGAAAGTTGCTCGAATTCGTCATCCTTTGGATAAGCATTGGCATCGAAGAAGTCCTGCAGCACCCGAAGCTGGTAATCTGTAAACCGTGTCCTGGAGGACCTCTTGCTACCCCAGTACTCCTGCTTCTGAGGCTCAGGAGAGGGAGGTCGCGAGTCGATCTTCAGCTCTTCCAGGCTGGTAATGGGAGGGTTGCTGAAGTTGTAGGGGGAATCTTTGTTGCGCTGGCGTTCTTTGAACAGGGTGTTTCTGAACCAGTGCTTGATCACTTTCTGCGGCAGCCCAGACTTGTCAGCCATCTCTTTGATCTGCTCCTCACTCGGGGAATTGTTAATATCAAAATACTGCCGAAGCACTCGGAGCTGGTCGTCTGTGATGCGAGTACGCGGCCTCTTGTTCTGCTGCTGCTGGAGGAGGCTGGGGTTCAGCTGGTGCTGGTAGAGCTGGGCCAGGTCTGCCGGCAGAGGGTCTACCGGCCCGAGCTGGGGCGGCAACTGAGCAGGCAACGTTTGCAGCGGCATCGTTTGCATCATCAGCGGAGAAAAGATGGGCAGCTCCATCGGCATGGAGAGCTGGGTGAGCGGCACAGACGGCTGAGCTGGTGCGATCGTCGGAGGGGTTATCGGCGGGGCAGAGGCTGGAATGGTTGGAGTGGAAGCTGGCTGAGGTGGTGCTGGAGGGAGCGGGGGTGGCGGCGGGGGTGGTGGCGG